CCCCAAAACCCCAAAACCCCAAAACCCCAAAACCCCAAAACCCCAAAACCCCGAGTATTTAACGATCAATTGAGAAATAAATATCAGTTAGATAAAATTTATTTTTAAATAATTGTTTGCAAATTTAGCAAAATGCAAGTCAAGACTAAGATCAATAAGGAGAACAATGTGATTGTCACCATTAAGAAAGGTGCTACCTTGGATGGTGACCTCTTACACAAGGGCAGAGAGTTTGGTACAGAGATTACTAACAACACTGGCGCTAGCAGCGAGTGCGAGATTGATGAAAAATCTCCTTGTGTTGTTAGAGATAGCTCTTACGAATCAAATGTGCCTAAAACGTCTCCTAAAACACATAAAATGACTGACTTACATGCTGGGACCTCTATCACTCTTAGATGAGTAAGCTATTCCACCTAATTTTGTTTCATGCGTTATAGAAGAGAGAACAGGAAGTTCCATCCCAATACAAAGGAGGGAAAGACCTCACTAAGCTCGAAGGAGAAGATCTAAAAGAAGCACTAAAGGAAGAGCTCAAACTGAGAAGAAAAGCTATAAACAAAGACATCTCATTCCATGATGTAATTAATTTCAGGACTCCAGAGCTGGTTGGTGAGTACGCTGGCAAGTGAATCCAATGGATGAGAGAACAGGAAGAAGAATTTAGAATCAAAAATAATTACTTGGATACTCCTCCCTTGAAGAAAAATTCTAAGAAGCACAAATTAACAAGAGAAGATCGAGCTATTGTTGTTGATTTGGTATTCGAGATTCATAGAAAATATGGGCTTGTACCTGAAACTCTATTTGTGGCTATTTCGACTATTGACAGATATTTATCAATGAGAAAAGAACCTCTAAGAAAATCAAGAGATATTGAATCAATTGGAGTAGCAGCTCTCCTCATTGCTTCCAAATATGAAGATATCTATCCTCCAGCACTAGACGAAATGATTACTATGATGGGAAGACCCTCTACAAGGAAGGAAGTCTTGAATTGGGAATTCAAAATTTTGAAACAACTCGTTTTCCAAATTACAGTACCCACTCCATTTAGATTTTTGGAAAGATTTTCTTCTGTCTCAGTTGTCTACCAAAATGCAGCTCCTCTTGCACAATACTTAATAGAACTTGCGCTTTACGATTTTGATATCGTATATAACTTGTCTCCATCTGAAATAGCTTGAGTTGCTCTATTCGCTGCAGTTAATTTTGATATCCACACCAACAAGATCTCTCCGAAACTCAAATGGTCATCAGAAATTATAGAGGAGTCTTCAATGAGGAAAGGAAAAATCATTGAATACTTCAATACCTACTTCATAGACTTGGCTTTCAGGGTAGAAAGAGAGCTGAAAGTCAACGACATCAACATAAAATATCCTCAATACCAATTTGTGGATGATGAACCCCTTGGTTTGTTCAGCCAAATCAAATAAAAATTTATTAATGCAGTTAAATTGATTAATCTATAAGCTAGATTACTCTTATTTCAAAACACTGGCTCTTCCAAGGGGTTTTGGGGTTTTGGGGTTTTGGGGTTTTGGGGTTTTGGGG